TATTAAGTACCTCGTTTGTGCCTACTTAGGCAGCAGTTTGGGACAAGAATAGAGACATATAGAAATAAATGATAGTCCCTGACCTCAAGGGGCTTATAATATAGTTGAGAAGACAAGATATAAAAAATATAATTTTTAAAAATATATTTTATTTATTTTTAGTTTTCAACATTCACTTTTACAAGATTTTGAGTTCTAAATTTCCCCCCACCTCCACCCTCCCCTCCTCAAGATGGCATGCAATCTGATATAGATTATAAATGTGTGATCATATTAAACATATTTCCACATTAGTCATGTTGTGAAAGAAGAATCAGAACAAAACAAAAAACCAAAAACAACAACCGAAAAAGAGAAAATAGTATGCTTCGATTTGCATTCAAACTCCATAGTTCTTTCTCTGGATGTGGATAGCATTTTCCATCATGAATCTTTTGGATTTGTCTTAGATCATTGAATTGCTCAGAAGAGCTAAGTATAACAAAGTTGGTCAGTGCATTATGTTGCTGATACTGTGTACAATATTATCCTAGTTCTGCTCACTTCACTCAGCATCAGTTCATGCAAGTCTTTCCAGGTTTTTCTGAAGTCCTCCTACTTAGCATTTTTTATGGAACAACAGTATTCTATTACATTTATATACCACAACTTAGTGCGCCATTTCCAAATCCCCTCAGTTTCCAATTCTTTGCCACCACAAAAAGAGCTGCTATAAATATTTTTGTACATGTGTGTCCTTTTCCCATTTTTATGATCTCTTTGGGATACAGTCTTAGAAGTAGTGTTGCTGGGTCACAGGGTATGCATAGTTTTATAGCTCTTTGGGCATCATTCCAAATTGTTCTCCAGAAAGGGTGGATCAGTTCACAACTTCACCAACAATGCATTAGTGTTCCAATTTTCCCATATCTTCTCCAACATTTATCATTTTCCTGTTTTGTCATGTTAGCCAATCTGATAGGTGTGATGTGGTACCTCAGAGTTGCTTTAATTTGTATTTCTCCAATCAATAGTGATTTAGAGCATTCTTTCATATGACTATGGATAGCTTTAATTTCTTCATCTGAAAACTGCCTGTTCATATCCTTTGACCAAAAAATATAACTTTTTAAGAAAGTAATTGAAGGCAGTATACTCAAATTCTAAATTAAATAAATTCTCTAGGTGTTAAGAAGGATTGAATTCAATTCTATATGCTTTTATTAAATATCTGTTATGTGTCAGTCACTCTACTAGGCCTTGGGGCTACAAAGATTATTTGTATTTGAGGCTATCCACACCCATATTGTGGTATAGAAGAAAAAGCACTGGATTTGGAATCAGAGGGTCTGGATTGAAAGCAATGACCTACTATTTACTACATATGTGAGCCTGGGAAAGTGACAACTTCTGTGGGTCCCAGTTTCCTCATCTACAAAATTAAGGGGTTGGATGAGATCCTTGTTATGTTTCCTTATGATTCTTACCTCACTAATCCAATGTTAAAAATGCATAAATCCAACAACATATTTAGTTATAAAAACATTTATGAAGTGTTATACAAAACACAATGCTGGACAATGGGATTCAAGATAGATACCCCCCAAAATCTCAAAGGGCTTACAATCCAAATGGGATAAAGTCACATTAATAAATGTGATGTAAAGGAGAGTAATATAAATGCAAAAAGAGTGATACAGGGTAAATGTTCTGAAAATTTTAAGAAGCACGATTAATGGAAGAAGGAAGAGCAGAAAAGGTAATGGAATAAAGACCAGTTTGACTGAGATGTAGAATATATAAAAGGGAATGTAAAATAAAACTGTAAATGTAAGTTGAAGGCAAATTGTAGAAAGCCTTAAATGCCAGGATCTAGAAATTATACTTTCTCCAATTAATCCCATTGCCTGGTAATGAGAAACCAATTAAAGTTTTTGCTTAGTGGAGTGATATGATCAGAAAAATGTGTTAGTGAGATTTCTTAAATGTCAGTGTGGAGGATGGATTGGAGATAGTAAATAGAATGGAGTGAGAAAGAGTACTTAGCAGGCTATTACAGTAGACTAGATAAGAATAGATAAAAGCCTAAAATGGTTGCAATGGGAGTGTAGAGAAGAGTACAGATGCAAGAAATATTGAAGAGGTTTAATCAATAGAACTTGGGAACTGATTAAATATGGCTCCTATAAGTTCCAAGGCAGCATAGTGCTTAGTTCTAAATATTTGTTGGTCTGACTTGTTGACTTATCCCACTCTAAATCACTTTTATGAGTCATATCCTCAGAGCTTGGCTATTATCTCCCACCTGGGGTTCTAGGCACACCCTCTGAAGGTAAATGGGGTGACTTTCTCTAATGACACTGACTTGAGCCCCTTTTGGTGTCTTCCCTCCAATGTTATCCACTGAGAATCATTTTAACTAACTAGTTTTAATTAGCTTTTAGGGAGAGGTATTTACCAAGGTTGTATAGTTATAACAGTTAATACGAAATGTCCCCCCAAAAATGAGTGACATATTCTTCCACAAATACTCTCGGAGTCCAGGGGAAAGTGAGCTTAAGCTTAGAGTGCACAGTAGGGTAACTCATAGCTCCTGGTTGCTGTAAATTCTTCTCTCTCATTTGTGGGGTGTTTAAGAAGGTTCCCTCAAACATGGTGAATCTATATCCATCTGTCCTTGGTTCCTAATGTAGACACTACCCTTAGTTGATCTGGAATTCTACTAGGCTATCAATGAAAAAATAGGAAGTCCCAAATCTTTCAGACCTTTCAAGGCTTACAAGGTACATCCTGGGCCAAAGTGGGTGGAATGGGAAGGATACCTGCACAAGGAAGCCACATGCTCCAGTTTCTAAAAATTTACCCCAATCTACTAGATTGATAATTTGTAGATGATCCCTGGGATGTGGCCAACTTTTCTTAGTCTATCTGAACATGTTTTCTTGTGCAACTTCATTTTCATTTGAAGGTCTTCTGTTTTTAGCATGTAGTTTAAGGTCTCTGTCAATGATTGACGTACGTTCTCTCCTATTTAAGGTATCAAGGCTAAAATGTGAAGAGTGGTTTTGACACCACTCTTCCACATGTAGCGAAGTATAGTGAAGAGTCAAAAATGGTTCTGAGGATATGAGCCTGGGTGACTGGGAACATGAATGTTCTCAACAGAAATGGAGATGTTGATCAGAGAAATGGTGGGGGATGAGCAGTGAGGAAGTACTGAGTTCAGTTTCGGAAATGTTGCATTTGAAGTTCTGGCAGGACATTCATTCCTGGTAGTTGTAATTGTTTCATAGTCAACACAGTATACTGGATAAAGCATCAGAGAGAGAAGACCGAGGTTTGAGGAGGCCCCAGGAAGAGGAGTCCAGTGGACAGAGCACTTATTTGAGAGTCAGAGGCTTTGATATCTGATATTTGCTATCTATGTGACCTTGGGCAAATCACTTAACCTTCCAGGGCCTCAGTTACCTTATCTTAAAAATGCAGAAGTTGTAGTAAATGGCCTTTCAGGCTCATTTCTGTGTTAAATGTATGATTCTATGAATCTCGGATCATATACTGTTTAGTTCTGTGACAATGGACAAGTCACTTAACTTTTCTAAGACCATTTTCTTGTCATATGATGTCATTTCCTTGTTAATAATGTCAATTTACCTTTCATGTTAGCAAACATTGCTTGTGGCTCTGATGATGGGAATCAGATAGTAAGAGCAAAATAACAATTCTCTTGGGGCAGCTAGGTGGCGCAGTGGATAGAGCACTGGCTCTGAAGTCAGGAGGACCTGAGTTCAACTGTGGCCTCAGACCTGACACTTACTAGCTGTGTGACCCTGGGCAAGTCACTTAACCCCAACTGCCTAAGGGGGGGGAAATTGGCACTAAAAAGATAAGTTTAAAAAAAAATAACAATCCTCTCTTACTAGGATTTTCTATCCTTTCTTAATACTTGTATGTATATGATAGATGGAAAATAGACCCAACTTCAGCTAGCAAAACAATTGCAGCCTTTTTTAGATAGGATTACATAGAAAGTTTAAGAATCCTTATGAATCCAACTAAACATTTCCCAAAGTCCTTCCACTAGGAAAAGAGATTGCCATACCATTCCAAATCCATGTTGGTAAAGATTATCTTACAGAACCTATTCACTCTATACATACAGAGTAAGCCACTTTCACACACACACACACACACACACACACACACACACACACACACACACCTGAGCTTTCATAAATACACAAAAACACCTGCATCTGTTTACATAGGTGGGATCATAGGTAAGGTGTTAGAAGCACCTCAGAAGCTATCTGGTCAAACTCCCTCATTTTGTAGTTAAGGGAACTGAGACTCAGAAAGTTTAAGTGACTTGCCCCAGGTCACACCACAGCTGTCAGAGATGTTTTTTGAAACCAGGTCCTCTGACTCCTAATTCAGTGATCTTTGCAATATGCAGTCCGGGAGGGGTGACAGTCAGGCAGTCAATCAAGAAGCATCGATTCTTTACTGTGTGCTAAGCACTGGGGATACAAAGAAAGGGGGAGGGGGAGACCAGTTCTCTGCTCTTAAGAAGCTCACAGTCTAATGAGGGTGCAACATACAAACAGCTATGTATATACAAGCCATCCATAGTGTAAATAAGAAGTCATCTCAGAAGAAAGGCACAGCTATACATACACGCCCAAGTATCGATGGTGTATACTACATGTATACCTGAGCTGCTCTTTCGGTGCCTTCTCCATAATTCGTTCCCAGTTCCTGGGATGCTCCTCTAAGGGACGGGGCTCAGGGTCCCCAGTGTGCGGCTTCCCACCCCGCCTCTTTCGGGGTTTCTTCACCACCTGTTTTCCTCCGGAGGAACAAACGGAAGAGCCAACACTGGCTTCCAAAACTCTCCTCCCTCGCCCTTCCCACTCCTCAGCCCAGCACAGGTAGCCTGCACCGCCGGACTGCTGGGGCGGGGCTCCGGACCCGATGGTCAGGAAGTGCCTCAGAGTGTATGTCACTCCTTGCCCTGACACTTTGTTGATTTCTAGGAGCTTAGACTACACTGCCTGGCAGGGAGAGGACCTATCTTAGTCACCTGTCCTCCAGGTGCGGCCCCAGGGGGCTGCTGGGTCTCCACGCCTCCTTCGGTGCTTTGGGGGTCCCCAAAGAAGCCACCATGAGCAAGTTGGGCAAGTTTTTCAAAGGGGGAAATTCCTCCAAGGGCAAGGCCGCTCCCAGCCCCCAGGAGGCCTTGGCCCGGCTCCGGGAGACTGAGGAGATGCTGGGCAAGAAACAAGAGTACTTGGAAACCAGGATCCAGAGGGAGCTCGCCCTGGCCAAGAAGCACGGAACGCACAATAAACGAGGTAGGGCTCGTGTCCTGTCCCTCCGTGGCAGCTACCCGACCTCATTTCTGACCATCTCTTTACCTCTGAACTTCAAGCCCCAAGAGACGGGCCAGAGCTTAGGACCCAGGGTCAGAGCAAGCCACAACTTCATTTAAACCCTCTCTCTAGGTACTTCTGACTACCCTAACAGTAAAAATAATTTTCTGCCAAGGAGCTGAGGCTATGTATAATATATGCAGTTGTGTACATGCTTGTATATGTGTTGTACCATAAATGGAATTGTATACAAACATGCAACCGATGGTTGCATTTATTTTAGTGAGACCTGTACGTGCCCCTTCCATCCATCTTTCATCTTTGAGCCCTTCAGTCAACTTTTCTGTAGTTAAGATCTTATCAAGAAGGGGTGGATTTCAAATGCCTATACCTGCTTGACCTTTACAATTTATAGGGAATTCTGAAGCAATAATGTCTTAGTATGCCTATCACATTCTGAGTTCTTTGTGCTTTGCAAACCTCCATTGGACTGTTTTACTTCTTACCTGGTATCCCAAGTATCCAGCAAGTGCCTGGCACTTAGTAGGAGCTTAATAAATGCTTTGTGATAAAGGTGAATATAGAACATTGGTGTACACTAGGGATAAGTAAAAAAGGCTCACAGAGAGGTGCAAGTGATTTTTCCTTTTGCCTTTTTTCTGCAAGTAGTATGTTAATGATTGCATCTACACAAAGATGTTTTCTGTTCTGATTGAATATTTTTAAAAATGCAGTATTTTATGTGATTGATTCATAATTATACTATGACTTTTACAAAAATGTATTTCCTTTTTTTAATATAATTTTGTATCCAACACTGTAGAAAACTACATAAACTAAACTGTTTATAAAGGGCAGGAACAGTGACTTTTATGATTCTTTATGTAAATACTGATTTTTAAAACTTCTTTAATTTTTTATGCTTCTTAAGATGTGGCAAACTAGCACAGAAAAAAATAAATTATTTGACCCATATACTAACATAACTTTATATATTGAGACAGCTAGAACTACTAGATTCCTGTTCTTTGGCACTGGCCGGGCTGGAAATAGAGCTGGTGATATATAATTCTGTTTTCACCATCAGACTGTTAATGTTTGCATCCCCATGCTTGCATCCCTTAGTCATATACAAGTGTTGTTGTTGTTGGAGGTGGGGGGGGGGAGAGAACAAGTTTTTTCCCACAGAACCAGAACTGGAAACACTGTACCTTCTCATTGGAATTTGCTAATCACACCAGAAGTTTCTGTGTAACTATTACCCAGTCCTGTACAGCAATTAGAACTGGAATATGCACTAAGGGCAAACTTCATTTTTTCCATGATACGCTATTTTCATGCTCTCATACTGTCACAATATTATGGTACGTATCTAGCACTTGTAATGTTGGCTTCTATTTTATTTTTGTGTATGAAAATATTTACTGGAAGACATTAAGGCAGTAAATTCAAAAGGATAAGTTCAATCTTAGCTTACTGGGAAAAAACCCACAATACATCAGTATTAACTGATGATGACTATCTCAAGGATTACTGCTTTACTCTGCATTCTCTTGGTGCTTATATACGGTTTGTATGTATTACTATCTTAATATTAATAATTAATACCTTTATTAATATGTTGTTCAGTCATGTCTTACTTTTTATGACCCCATTTGGTGTTTTCTTGGCAAAGATATTGGAGTGGTTTGCCATTTCCTTCCCAAGTTCCTTTTACAGATGAGGAAACTGAGACAAACAGAGTTGAGTGACTTGCCCAGGGTCAGATAGCTAGAAAACATCTGAAGGCCAGATTTGAACTCAGGAAGATGAGTCTTCCTGACTCCAGGTCTGGCACTTTGTCTACTGTGCCACTTAGCTGCCCTGTATTAATACAAATGTTGCTTTCATGTGTTCCTAAAATCCCCTAGTCTCCCCTTTCCCATACTATACACACATTGTCTGTCTCTTTACAGGTCTCTGACCACCTGAATTATTGAAAAGCAATCTCTTGGATTTTAAGACCTTCAAAAGCAAAGACTGTGGCTTTTGAGACCATTTCTAGTGCTTGCTGCATAATAGGTGCTCTTCTCTTTTTCGAATACTCCAAATTCTTTCAACTAGTCTTTATATGACATAAATTCCAGAATTGTCACCATCCTGTCCATTTTTCCTGGACATTTTCTCTCTTAAAGTATTACTCTTAGAAGTAGGCAGAATATTCACATGCAAAATGACAAATGCAAAGTATGGTGAGATACATATATGTATTTATACACATATATGTATATATTCATATATCCTAAAATTATTATTCTTTATTTGATATTTACCAAAATTTTCTTTTGCTTCTTCAAGTGGTAAGTTGTAGGCTTACTCTTTAAAGACAAAATTTAGAAAAAACTCATCCTAGTCTTCTCCAGTTGTCATAGGATCATAGCTCTAGAGCTGAAAGAGACCTCACAGGCCATCTAGTTCATCCCTCATTTTATGGAGGAGAAAACAGGGTCTGGGAGATTAAGTGATTTGAGTAAGGTCACACAGAGAATAAGCATCACAAGTAGAATTTGAATCCAGGTCCTCTAACCCAGCACTCTTTTCATTGTACAACACTGCCTCCAGTGCCCCATATCCATGCTAACAATGCATCTGCAAACATCCTTCATAGCAACATCCTCAAATCAGGGGACCTTTAACTGCATGTGTTAGTATGACTAGCAAGGGGTTGACTTTGCAAGACAGTCTACTAAAATGAGATGATAAGGGAAGAAAGGGATCATTGGGAATAGCTAAAAGGCATTCTTTATTACAGAAGCTGAAATCCAAGGAGACACTTGAATTCAGTGTCTATTGGAATATAGAAAGATCTGGCTTGGAGTACGCTTATTACCAGGTCAAAATATGGAAATGATTGTTGATCATGACTAATTTTTTTTTGTCAGCAATAAATGTTCACATATAAAGCAACAGTTGTGATCATCAGCATCATTAAAAGGGCAATTACGTGTAATTTTCATTTAATCAACTAGCTGCCTTATGCTCTACTGTTGTGTTCAAAAGATTGCTGAATGTGAAAAAGGATGAGTTGGAATAAGATTTATGAATCTTTTTTTTTTTTTTGGTTGGGCAATGGGGTTAAGTGACTTGCCCAGGGTCACACAGTTAGTAAGTGTTATGTGTCTGAGGCTGGATTTGAACTGAGGTCCTCCTGAATCCAAGACTGGTGCTCTATCCACTGTGCCACCTAGCTGCCCAAGATTTTTATGAATTTTTTCAAGAATTTTAGGTGGTCAGAGATTTCGTTAGTGTTGCTTCCTGAGATGACACTGAAAAAAGTGTCATTTTCATCTAGTGCCTTTCATCTAGTACAGCTATTTTGTGGCAGTGGCAAGCTTCTGGTATTAAATAATCTTCTGCTTCTTCTGGATATTGTCATTTGAAATGTCAGTGACAGCAGCATGCGCTCTGTTATCTTTTGTACAGTGGGTGTGAACATGCTCCCTTATAAGGCATATCTTTGAGTACTTAGAAATAGACTTGGAAACGTAGACTCTTCAAAGTCACACAGCAGTGTCTGACTTCCGAAAACAGCAATCCGCTTGACCACACAATGCCTTCCTCTAGCAACAGGGAATATTCCATTACTGGACATCAATGTCAGGCAGTTCTTTATGATGAATAGCTAAAATTTGCCTCTCTCTACCATCCACCCATTATCGAATCTAGTTTTGCTTTCTGGGACTGAGCAGACTAATTCCTCTAGACATAATAGCTTTTCAAGTATTTAGTATTCCTAGGATCATAGAGCTGGAGCTGGAAGGAATTTCAGAGGCTAACCAACCCCCTCATTTTATAGACGAGGAAACTGAAACCCAGTGATGTTAAATAACTTGCCCATGGGCACACAGGTTGTAATTCAGTCAGTCAAAAAGCATTTATTAAGGGCTTACTATGTGCCAGGCACTCTGGGTAGTACTGAGAAGATAAAGAAAGGCAAAAAAGGCAAGTTGAGAGGGAGGATTTGTACCCAGTTTCCCTAATTTCAGAAAGAGTGCTGTTTTGTGTCAGTAATAATATTAATAGCAATAATATTTGAAAGCAGGCAGCTGGGTGACGCAGTGGTATAGAGCATGGAACCTGGAGTCAGGAAGACCTGAGTTCTAAATTGGACACTTACTACCTTTATGACCCTGAGCAAGTTACTTAACCTTTGTTTGTTTCAGTTTCCTTATCTGTAAAATGGGGATAATAATAGCACCTATGTCTCAGGATTGTTGTGAAGATCAAATGAGATAATAATTATAAAACACTTAGCACAGTGCCTATATATGTGCTATATAAATGTTAGCTATTATCATCATCATTATTATTATTATTATAGTAACTGTATGGGGCTTTCCTTATCACACTTGTGAAGTAGGTACTATAAATATGATATTCCCCATTTTAAAGATTAATTTGAACTCAGTTATCTCTTGATTCAGAGTCTGGTATGCTTTCCACCATGTGGTGAGTATTTCCTCACGATCTGCCTAAATCTCTTTTTCAAATACCCCTTCTCCTGAAAAAAGTTTTTTCAACTGGTCTCCATAGGACATAAGCCCAATAACTTTCCCTATCCTAGCCATTTTTATGTTGTCATTCTCCTTCTTAAAGCATGAATCCCAGAACTGGCCAGAATATTCCACAGGTGGTGTTAAAAGTACAAAGTACAATGGATTGTTTCCCTTCATATGGACGTGGTATTTATATTTATGTATCCCCAAATTAATTTTTTGGCTGTTATATAATAATAATTCCTCTATGAAAATCCCACTATAATGCATCATCAGGCATAGAGGTGACCTTAGCTTCTTGAAAGTTATGCCAGCAGAACACATGCTCTCACAAATTCTTCCAAAGCTATAAGGTTTTGAATACAAGTCTAGTGATATGTGAGTCTAGATAAGCATAGAGAGGTTTATCACCAAAAGCTGATGGGTAGACGGAAGCTGATGATTTTT